ATTAGGTGCTAGCTTTTCATTGTCTTTAAATTATATTGCGGGGCTAGTGTTAACTTAGCCCCCCCCCGAAAATAACCCTTTATTACATGGCTTTATTGAATAAAAACACACTTTTTTTTAATGGATCCAGCGAGTGCTAGCTCTAGACTATTAACCTACTGATTTTTACCATTAAAGAAAAAAAAGTGGGGGCTACTTTTTTTTTGGTTTTTAATTTTTTTTAATACTCGCAGAGTGGTGCTAGCTATGAGACTAGTGGTGCTAGCTGGTGCTAGGTCTAAACTACCTCGGACCAACTTTTCATGAGAATTAAATAATGTCGGGGGGCTAGCGTTAACTTGCCCCCCCCCCACCCCCCCCCCCCGAAAGTAAAAGGCTTTTATTTCAATAATTAGGTGGTGCTAGCTTTTTGATTGGTGGTGCTAGCTGGTGCTAGGTTAGAACAACGAGGTGCTAGCTTTTGAGTAAAATTCATTAACTTGGTGGTGCCAAGTTAACGGACCCTCATTTCTTCATTTTGTCGATTTTTTAGATTACCGATTTTTAATATTTCCATTTTTCACTTTTAAGTTTTTCATATTTCAATTTTTCGAATGTTCATTGTAAAATTTCGCAATATGTATTTCGATTTTCCAGAATCTCAATTTTTCCAATTTTTTAATTTTAAATTTCTTCCTTTTTTCGCTTCTTCAATATTTCAATTTTTCTTGTTATGAATTTTCCAATTTTTCGTTTCTTCAATTTTTCACCTTTCTAAATTTCCAATTTTTCGATTTTTCGTCTTTTTAATTTTTCAAATTTTCGGTTCTTCAAGCTTTCATTTTTTCGTGTTTTGAATTTTTTTAATTTTCCGATTTTTAATTTTTTAGATTTTTCATTCCTTCCTTTTGATTTGTCGATTTTCGAAATATTCGATTTTTCCATCTTTCAAGTTGTTCGTCCTTTGAGTTTTTCAATTTTTCGGATTTGAAAGTTTTTTATTTTTCTGTCTGATTTTCAATTTTAAATTATTCTAGCGTCAATTTAAAATTTCTGAATTTTTCGATTTTTCAGATTCTCTCGTTTTCTATTTTCATTTTCCAAAAATTGTCCCTTTTTTTTGTTTCCTCAACATTTCGATTGTTCAAATTCTCAATTTTTCGCCCTTTTAAATTTCCAGTTTTCCACTTCATCAATTTTTCGATTTTTTATCTTCTGAATTTTACAAATTTTCGTGTTTTGAAATTTTCATTTTTTTTATTTCCCGAACGTAAGGTAATATTATAATCGAGTCCTTCGACCGATCTCTTTTGCGTTTTTCATTTCTTCATTTTTCAGTTTACCGATACTTCTTCTTTTTGATTATCGATTTTTAATTTTTCCATTTTTCACATTTTTTGATTCTTCTTTTTTGCGATTTTTCAAATTTCTAAATTCTCGGTTTGGTTTTTCAATTTTCAATTTTTCCAGTGTGTAATTTAAAATTTCTTAATTTTTTACAATTTTTTCTTGTTTCCATTCTGCAATATTTCAACTCGTCACATTTTTAAATTAATTATAATAAATTTTTCACTTCAATTTTCCCACTTTTGAATTTTTCAATTTTTCGTTTCTTCAAGCTTTCGTTTTTTCGTCTTTTGAATTTTTTTAATTTTCCGATTTTTCGTTTCTTTTATTTCTCGATTTTTCAGATTCTCGGTTCTCTTCTAAATTTTTTTTTTAATTTTTCATTTCTTTTTAAAATTTTTCATTTCTTCATTTTAAAAGTTTAAAATTTCCCAATTTTTCCATTTTTCGGAATTCCCACTGTTTTTCGTTTTTCGTTTTTAATTTTGAATTTTGCAATTATTCAATTTTTCATTTCTTCTTTTTTCGATTCTTTAATATTTCGATTTTTCGGATTCTCGATTTTTCATGTTATAAATTTTTCGCCCTTTTGAATTTTTCAACTTTTCGTTTCTTCAAGCTTTCGTTTTCTCATGTTTTGAATTTTTTTATTTTCCGATTTTTCATTTCCTCTTTTTTAGATTTTTCAGATTCTCGGTTCTCTTCTGAATTTTTCATTTCTTTTTTTAATTTTTTATTTCATCATTTCTTCTTCATTTTTCGATTTTCTAAATTTTCGATGTTTCATCTTCTGAATTTTTCAATTTTTGTGTTTTTTTGTTTTTCATTCCTTCATCTTGACGATTTCTCAGATTACCGATTTTTCAATTTTGTTTCTTTTTTATTTTCTTGTTAATTTTTCATATTTTTAAATTCTCGGTTTTTAATTTTTCGATTTTGCAGAACCTCAAATTTTTTTTATTGTTCGTTTTCAATCTTGTTTTTCGAGTGTTCAGTTTAAAATTTCTCAATTTTTCGATTTTTGGGAATTTCCATTGTTTTTTATTTTTCGTTTTTAATCTTGAATTTTACTATTTTTCATTTCTTCTTTTTCAGTTCTTCAATATTTGGATTTTTCGGATTCTCGATTTTTAATGTTGTAAATTTTTTAAGTTTTCGTTTCTTAAATTTTTCGTCATTTTGAATTTTTCAACTTTTCACTTCTTCAAGCTTTCGTTTTTTCATGTTTTGAATTTTTTTTATTTTCCGATTTATCATTTCCTCTTTTTTCGATTTTTCAGATTCTCGGTTCTCGTCTGAATTTTTCAATCTCCCTCTTTTGAATTTTTCATTTCTTTTTTTAATTTTTTATTTCTGCATTTCTTCTTCATTTTTCGATTTTCTAAATTTTCGATGTTTCATCTTCTGAATTTTTCAATTTTTGTGTTTTTTTTGCTTTTCATTCCTTCATCTTGACGATTTCTCAGATTACCGATTTTTCAGTTTTGTTTCTTTTTTATTTTCTTGTTAATTTTTCATATTTTTAAATTCTCGGTTTTTAATTTTTCGATTTTGCAGAACCTCAAATTTTTTTATTGTTCGTTTTCAATCTTGAATTTTCCAATTTTTTAATTTGTCAATATTTTTTTGTTTCAATTTTTCATTCTTTCTTTTTCAAATTTTTCGTTTCTTCATTAATCAATTTTTCAAAAAAAATGAATTTTTCATTTCTTTTTGTTTCTTCATTTTTCAATATTTTGGTTTTTCTTTTTCATTTTTCAATGTTCCAATTTTTCAATTTTACGTCGTTTGAATTGTTCAATTGTTCGTGTGTTGAAAGAATAATGTCTTCAATTTTTTCATTTTTCATTTCCTCACTTTTTCAATTTTAGGATTTTGAAATTTTGTATTTTTCTGGTTTTCATTCATTCATCTTTTAGATTTTTCAGATTATCGATTTTTAATTTTTCCATTTTTCAATTTTTGTGTTTCTTCTTTATTTTCTTTTTAATTATTCATATTTTTAAATTCTCGGTTTCGTTTTCCAGTTTTCAATTTTTCGATTTTTCAGAACCTCTTTTTTTTTGTTGTTCGTTTTCAATCTTGAATTTTCTAATTTTTTAATTTCTCAATATTTTTCTCTGCTTTTCATTTATTCATCTTTTTGATTTTGCAGATCATCGATTTTTTACTTTTTCCATGTTTCACGTTTCTAGTTTTTTAGTTTTCTGCTTATTTTTTTTCTTTTGGATTTTAAGCATTTGTAAATTCTAAGTGTGGTTATTTAATTTTCAGTTTTTCGAGTATTCAGTTTAAAATTTCTCAATTTTTCGATTTTTGGGAATTTCCATTGTTTTTTATTTTTCGTTTTTAATCTTGAATTTTACTATTTTTCATTTCTTCTTTTTTCAATTCTTCAATATTTCGATTTTTCGGATTCTCGATTTTTAATGTTATAAATTTTTTAAGTTTTCGTTTCTTAAATTTTTCGTCATTTTGAATTTTTCAACTTTTCACTTCTTCAAGCTTTCGTTTTTTCATGTTTTGAATTTTTTTTATTTTCCGATTTTTCATTTCCTCTTTTTTCGATTTTTCAAATTCTCAGTTCTCTTCTAAATTTTTGAGTGTCCCTCTTTTGAATTTTTCATTCCTTTTTCTTAATTTTTCGTTACTTCATTTTTCAATATTCCATTTCTTGTTCAATTTTGGATTTTCCAAATTTTCAATTTTTTATCTTCTGAATTTTAACAATTTTTCGTCTGTTGAAAGGTTCATTTATTCAATTTTTTTAATTTTTCATTCCCGCAATTTTTCAATTTTTCGAATTTTGAAATTTTGTATTTTTCTGTTTTTCATTCCTACATCTTTTCGATTTTTCAGATTATCGATTTTTAATTTTTCCATTTTTCGATTTTCTGTTTCTTCTTTATTTTCTTTTTAATTTTTCATATTTTTAAATTCTCGGTTTGGTTTTTCAATTTTTAATTGTTCGATTTTTCGGAATCTCATTTTTTTTATTTCTCGTTTTCAATTTTGAATTTTCCCATTTTCCATTTCTTCCTTTTTTCGATTCTTCAATATTTCGATTTTTCAGACTCTCGATATTTCATGTTATGAATTTTATTAATTTTTCGTTTTTTCAATTTTTTGCCCTTTTAAATTACCTATTTTCCATGATCTTTAGAGTACCAAAAAAGTGATCTCCCGTTTCCGCCTGTCTGTCGTCTGCCCGTCCCTTTGTCTGTCTGAGTCGATTTTTATTAGGCACATAATTTCCAAAACTACTGGACCGATTGTTGTCAAATTATGAATGTATATTAGGAATAGGCCTGTAGGTATTTTATTTTTTGGAGTACAGCATTATGTGACGTCGAATTAAATCATTTTAAATAGGAGGAGGAGGAGGAGGCGCAGAGTCTAACACAGTTTTTGCTTTTAAAAGTTTTTTTTTCAGTGTCATTAATTATACCATAATTTCATGGTTTAAATAGTTTAAATAAACAAATGAAGCAGTTCTACTTTTCTCATTTTGTCTAGTAAAAGTCGCTATAACTTTTATTAGAGTTGTTTGATTAATTTTGGTACAGAAAAGGTACATATAGTTAGTATGCCATGAATAATTCATTTATCAGTTTCTGTAATTACATTACAATGTTGTTAATAAGTAAGCAATTGTTAACACGTTGATTCTTACAATAAATATCCATAATTGCTGCTATTAACTCTATAGCTGACCAAAAGGTCTAACTTTTACAATATTCAATATTATATAAATGTAGCTTACTGTGACGATTCGAAATCAGTACCAGTTTTGGTTCTTCTTTCCTGTATTATTTTAGATGAGGGTGTTCTTAAATCATACGCCCATCCAATTTTAGCCATGGAGTCAATAAAAGTCGTAGACCAGTTATCAAACGTACCCAGTTCTGCTGCTCTATAGTCCCACGGGAACACGTGATGGTAGTTATGCCAACCTTCGCCCCAAGTCAGGAACGATACCAATTGGTTTTCCGATGCTTGAATAGATCTAAACAGCTCCAAATAACCACCAGGACTCTGCAATATTCTAGTGTAGTACCTGTCGTATGGCCTAGTACCCCAAGTATGAGCCACACTGTTAACCGTCCAAGTAAAATGAAAACTAATGACAAGACGCAACATGCCAGCTGTGCAAAACGATACGTACAAATCCTGATTCCAGAAATACCATGGTATCATAGTCGGTACCACCAACGAAAAAACCGGTGCCAAAATCGCGTAGTACTTTTTTTGGAATCGTACGACTGGGTCGGCCTCAAGGTCGCTCATGTCCACGGTTTTGCCTAATCTGGTGAAGTCTGGGTGTTTGTGCACCAACAACCATCCCATATGGGCGAAGAAGAAACCCCTTTTGATGCTGTGGGGGTCGGCGTTGGTGTCTGTGAATTTGTGGTGGACCCGGTGGTCATGGCACCACACGTAGATGCAGTGCTGGAAAGCTACAGTTTGGAAAATACATAGAATGATTCTAAGGGGGAGTTTCGCTTTGTAGGCTTTATGGCACCATAGTCTATGGGCACCCGCGGTCACACCTAAATTTCCACAACGTGCCAGTAGAAAAGCTGAAGGAAGTGATTACAAATTGCCAGATTTCGTGTGTCGATCGATGCTTACCAAACAAATAAGTTTGCCAATTTACGTTCAGACTAAGCACGTAATATATTCCTATTAAGGCAAAATAATGAGAAAAGGAGAGCATTATAAGTTTGTACCACAGTATATTCATTTTAGAGCTGCACGTGGAACTCATATTTAGAACTAAACACTCGCAATTTGAATTTCTAAAACATGAAGAAAGCTAATTTATATCTTTCGTTTGCAAATTTGACGTGTTTTATTATGCACATATAAAAGTCATTTTAACATAGTTGTCAAACTTAGATAGGCAAAATAGCTAATAGAAAATTCAGTTGTATATACTTATTCTACTTTTGTGTTTTTTTTTACGTTTAATTTTCACTCCACATTATATATTTTCTCGAACTTTCATGACCCCTACAGTACCTCTGTCTGTCCGATCAAAACAAGCAATTTGATGACGTCATTTTAAAGATTTATATGTTTATTTGGTGTAACTGTTATAGAATATTCCTAGTGGATTGTATTCGGATTTGTAATTTCAAAATTAAAGTGCAAAATGTTATTATACTCAAAACTCAACACGGATTCATAAACTACACATGTAGTGGTGATATTCATAAAATATAATTCTTCCTTCGATGTCTCCTTTTACTTTTTTGTCAAAATACTCAATTTATAACAGTACGATATTTCAAACATGGTAATTTATCATGCAGAAATATGGACGTTGCAACTTTTTATTAAGCTCCGCCCGTCGTCTCACGACGAATACAAAAATTAATTACAATTGAGACGGGGTGGGTGGGTGGTTGGGTCTTATTCTTTTCATGCCAGATATATCGTAGATTTTTTTTTTGTGGAAACGATACACAGTAAAAAAGCTTGTGTCGTAGTAGTTGCTAACTTTTATTTTTACTATATCTCAGTCCCAACAAACAAAGTCAAAAATAGACGTAGTACGATTTCTAAAGTTTTGCAAGCTGAAAACAGTGGTGACAAGCCCGTTCCAAAATTTCCATAAATAACTGAAATATTGATTTTTAAAATACGTGATGCAAAAATTGCAGTTATGTAGTGAAAGTGATGTACAAGTTACATTTAAAATTTCATAACAATACTTGTGATAATAATGATGATATTACATTCTGAAAATATTTACAGAAAACTCAAGTTGTGAATACTAGTAGATGTTTTATTTTTGTACAGTTTTTCTTCTTCTCTCCTTTGACTTTTGAAAGAATGAGAATATTAATTCCCTATTTGCCCTAAACCAGTTTATTTTCAACAGTGGGATAATATTTTTATAAGAAGGTAAAACCTTCATGGTGCCTAAAACTGTTTTTTAAGGTAACGGTGAAATCTTATCGAGGGTCTCAACTGTTTTTTTTTAAAGAAGACGAAACCTTGTCGGGAGTCCCAACTGCTTTTTTTACCAACGCAAAACTTCCTCCAGGGCCCCAACGTTTTTTTTTTTAAGAATGTGAAATCTACTCGGGGGTCCCAACTGATTTTCTTTCTAAGAAGGTGAAACCTACTAGGGCCCCCAACTCTTTTTTTTAAGAATGTAAAACCTTCTCAGGGGCCCCAAATGTATTCTTTTACAATGTGAAAACTCGGGGGTCTCAACTGTTCTTTTTTAAAGAAGATGAAACCTTGTCGGGGGTCCCAACTGTCTTTTTTAACAATGCAAAACTTTTCCGGAGGTTTCAACCGTTTTTTTTTTAAGAAGGTGAAATTTTTTCGAGGGCCCCAACTATTTTTTTTAGAAGGTGAAATATTCTTGGAGGCCCCAACTGCCTTTTTGTTTTAAGAAAGTGGACCTTCTCGGGGGCCCCAACTGTATTTTTTTTTAGAATGTGAAACCTTCTCGGGAATCCCAACTGTTCTATTTTAAAGAAGACGAAACCTTGTCGGACGTCCCAACTGCTTTTTTCAACAACGCAAAACTTCCTCGAGGGCCCCAACTGTATTTTTTTTAGAATGTGAAACCTTCTCGGGAATCCCAACTGTTCTTTTTTAAAGAAGACGAAACCTTGTCGGAGGTCCCAACTGCTTTTTTTAACAACGCAAAACTCCTCGAGGGCCCCAACTGTTTTTTTTTTAAGAATGTGAAATATTCTCGGGGTCCCATCGGACTTTTTTTCTAAGAAGGTGAAACCTACTAGGGCCCCCAACTCTTTTTTTTAAGAATTTAAAACCTTCTCAGGGGCCACAAATGTATTTTTTTTAGAATGTGAAACCTTCTCGGGGGTCCCAACTGTTCTTTTTTAAAGAAGACGAAACCTTGTCGGGGATCCCAACTGTCTTTTTTAACAATGCAAAACTTTCTCGGACGCTTCAACCGTTTTTTCATGAAGGTGAAATTTTTTCGAAGGCCTCAACTATTTTTTTTAGAAGGTGAAATATTCTTGGAGGCCCCAACTGCCTTTTTGGTTTAAGAAAGTGGACCTTCTCGGGGGCCCCAACACTGTATTTTTTTTTTAGAATGTGAAACGTTTTCGGGGGTTCCAACTGTTCTTTTTTAAAGAAGACGAAACCTTGTCGGGGGTCCCAACTGCTTTTTTTAACAACGCAAAACCTCCTCGAGGGCCCCAACTGTTTTTTTTTTAAGAATGTGAAATCTTCTCGGGGGTCCCATCGGACTTTTTTTCTAAGAAAGTGAAACCTACTAGTGCCCCCAACTCTTTTTTTTAAGAATTTAAAATCTTCTCAGGGACCCCAAAATGTATTTTTTTTTTTTTAACGTGAAACCTTCTCGGGGGTCCCAACTGTTCTTTTTTAAAGAAGACGAAACCTTGTCGGGGGTCCCAACTGCTTTTTTTAACAACGCAAAACTTCCTCGAGGGCCCCAACTGTTTTTTTTTAAGAATGTGAAATCTTCTCGGGGGTCCCATCGGACTTTTTTTCTAAGAAAGTGAAACCTACTAGGGCCCCCAACTCTTTTTTTTAAGAATTTAAAACCTTCTCAGGGGCCACAAATGTATTTTTTTTAGAATGCGAAACCTTCTCGGGGGTCCCAACTGTTCTTTTTTAAAGAAGACGAAACCTTGTCGGGGGTCCCAACTGTCTTTTTTAACAATGCAAAACTTTCTCGGACGCTTCAACCGTTTTTTTAAGAAGGTGAAATTTTTTCGAGGTCCCCAACTATTTTTTTAGAAGGTGAAATATTCTTGGAGGCCCCAACTGCCTTTTTGTTTTAAGAAAGTGGACCTTCTCGGGGGCCCTAACTGTATTTTTTTTTAGAATGTGAAACCTTCTCGGTGGTCCCAACTGTTCCTTTTTAAAGAAAACGAAACCTTGTCGGGGGTCCCAACTGCTTTTTTTAACAACGCAAAACTTCCTCGAGGGCCCCAACTGTTTTTTTTTAAGAATGTGAAATCTTCTCGGGGTCCCATCGGACTTTTTTTCTAAGAAGGTGAAACCTACTAGGGCCCCCAACTCTTTTTTTTAAGAATTTAAAACCTTCTCAGGGGCCACAAATGTATTTTTTTTAGAATGTGAAACCTTCTCGGGGGTCCCAACTGTTCTTTTTTAAAGAAGACGAAACCTTTTCGGGGATCCCAACTGTCTTTTTTAACAATGCAAAACTTTCTCGGACGCTTCAACCGTTTTTTCATGAAGGTGAAATTTTTTCGAAGGCCTCAACTATTTTTTTTAGAAGGTGAAATATTCTTGGAGGCCCCAACTGCCTTTTTGGTTTAAGAAAGTGGACCTTCTCGGGGGCCCCAACACTGTATTTTTTTTTAGAATGTGAAACGTTTTCGGGGGTTCCAACTGTTCTTTTTTAAAGAAGACGAAACCTTGTCGGGGGTCCCAACTGCTTTTTTTAACAACGCAAAACCTCCTCGAGGGCCCCAACTGTTTTTTTTTTAAGAATGTGAAATCTTCTCGGGGGTCCCATCGGACTTTTTTTCTAAGAAAGTGAAACCTACTAGTGCCCCCAACTCTTTTTTTTAAGAATTTAAAATCTTCTCAGGGACCCCAAAATGTATTTTTTTTTTTAACGTGAAACCTTCTCGGGGGTCCCAACTGTTCTTTTTTAAAGAAGACGAAACCTTGTCGGGGGTCCCAACTGTTTTTTTTAACAACGCAAAACTTCCTCGAGGGCCCCAACTGTTTTTTTTTAAGAATGTGAAATCTTCTCGGGGGTCCCATCGGACTTTTTTTCTAAGAAAGTGAAACCTACTAGGGCCCCCAACTCTTTTTTTTAAGAATTTAAAACCTTCTCAGGGGCCACAAATGTATTTTTTTTAGAATGCGAAACCTTCTCGGGGGTCCCAACTGTTCTTTTTTAAAGAAGACGAAACCTTGTCGGGGGTCCCAACTGTCTTTTTTAACAATGCAAAACTTTCTCGGACGCTTCAACCGTTTTTTTAAGAAGGTGAAATTTTTTCGAGGTCCCCAACTATTTTTTTTAGAAGGTGAAATATTCTTGGAGGCCCCAACTGCCTTTTTGTTTTAAGAAGGTGGACCTTCTCGGGGGCCCTAACTGTATTTTTTTTTAGAATGTGAAACCTTCTCGGTGGTCCCAACTGTTCCTTTTTAAAGAAAACGAAACCTTGTCGGGGGTCCCAACTGCTTTTTTTAACAACGCAAAACTTCCTCAAGGGCCCCAACTGTTTTTTTTTTAAGAATGTTAAATTTTCTCGGCGGTCCCATCTGATTTTTTTCTAAGAAGGTAAAACCTACTAGGGCCCCCAACTCTTTTTTTTTTTAAGAATGTAAAACCTTCTCAGGGGCCCCAAATGTTTTTTTTTTAGAATGTGAAACCTTCTCGTGGGTTCCAACTGTTCTTTTTTAAAGAAGACGAAACCTTGTCGGGGGTCCCAACTGCTTTTTTTAACAACGCAAAACTTCCTCAAGGGCCCCAACTGTTTTTTTTAAGAATGTTAAATTTTCTCGGCGGTCCCATCTGATTTTTTTCTAAGAAGGTAAAACCTACTAGGGCCCCCAACTCTTTTTTTTAAGAATGTAAAACCTTCTCAGGGTCCCCAAATGTATTTTATTTAGAATGTGAAACCTTCTCGTGGGTTCCAACTGTTCTTTTTTAAAGAAGACGAAACCTTGTCAGGGGTCGCAACTGCTTTTTTTAACAACGCAAAACTTCCTCGAGGGCCCCAACTGTTTTTTTTAAGAATGTGAAATCTTCTCGGGGGTTCCATCGGACTTTTTTTCTAAGAAGGTGAAACCTACTAGGGCCTCCAACTCTTTTTTTTAAGAATTTAAAGCCTTCTCAGGGGCCACAAATATATCTTTTTTAGAATGTGAAACCTTATCGGGGGTCCCAACTGTTCTTTTTTAAAGAAGACGAAACCTTGTCGGGGGTCCCAACTGTCTTTTAACAATGCAAAACTTTCTCGGAGGCTTCAACCGTTTTTTTTAAGAAGGTGAAACTTTCTCGATGGCCCCAACTATTTTTTTTAGAAGGTGAAAAATTGTTGGAAGCCCTAACTGCCTTTTTGTTTTTAAAGAAAGTGGACCTCCTCGGGGGCCCCAACTGTTTTTTTAAGAATATGAAACCTTCTCGGAGATCCCAACTGACTTTTTTTTAAGAAGATGAAAGCTGCTAGGGCCCCCCAACTTTTTTTTTTAAGAATGTAAAACCTTCTCAGGGGCCCCAAATGTATTTTTTTTTAGAATGTGAAACCTTCTCGGGCGTCCCAACTATCCTTTTTTAAAGAAGGCGAAACCTTCTCAGGGGTGCCAACTGTCTTTTTTTTAATATGCAATCTTCTCAGTGCCCCAAATGTATTTTTTTAAGATTGTGGAACCTTCTCGGGGGTTCCAACTGTTTTTTTTTACAGTTTGAAACCTTCTCGGGGGCCTCAAAAAATGTCTTTTTTGAAGAATGTCAAACCTTTTTTTAATTTTTGAAAGAAGCGGGATTTGTGGCACCGCACTTCAGGGGCGAGGGAAGTCCTGTCGAAATAACTTTCGACCAATTTTTTAGATTAGTAGATGTTATTGTTTTAAATGTAATTTGACATTGACAAATCGTGTATTGTATGCAAATACGTTTTTAAAGTCGAGTTTGTATTGACTAGAAATTTAAAAAAATATTTATGAAAACGTTTAAATAAATATATACTTCTAAGATATAGAATTCTCGTGTCACAGTGTTAGTAACCAAACTCCTCCGAAACGCCTTTACCGATTTTTATGAAATTTTTTGTGTATATTCGGTAGATCGGAGAATAAGTCGTAAACTATTTTTTATACCCCTGAGTAATAAGGGTGGCCTACTCAAAATTTTTTTTTTCGACAAAATTTTTAATTTTTTTTTAAGACTTGGCACCAAAAAATATAATCATTGCAGTACGACAAATTTTTATGTATAATTTATAATTTAATTTGATTATAATGTATTTATTATTTTAATTTAATTGTTTATATAACTACCAAAATACTCACTAGATAATAATTTATTTTACAAAAATGAGTCATACACAACCTTGTAACCAAATTATGTATTAAAAGGTGTGACGTCGATGAATGCATTTAAACAAATGATTCTGAAGATTTTATAATCATTAGCGAAAGGGCTACATTCCAAGGAAAATTTCATAAGATCGTTGACATAAATTGAGAATAATAGTGGTCCGAGTGTAGAACCTTGAAGCACACCTGAAAGTACAAGCCGAGTAGAAAACACACAGTTTTGTTCATTTTGATTGATGACAAATACCATATTTCTAAAATTTGTATACACAGAGTGTCTTTAATGACCTTTATTCATAGCATTAATAATTTTATTAGTACAGTAGAACTTTTATAATTATATAATATTCGACAATAATAATTTATAAAACCATTTATAATTTTACAAAAACGTAAGGACAATAATAAAATATCAGTGTTAGCATGTATTAAATTATTATGTATCTTTCAATTTAGTTTATTTTAAAATCAATAGTTTCGTGCAATCTATTTTATGTAAAAGTTCAAAGTTCTATCTACAACCAATAAGGTTAAAGTTTCAAGATAGAACATAATTTTTTGAAAATCTCGATTTTCCAAAAAAGTGCAGTTAGAATCCTGTTTACAGGATTCTTCAACGGTGAATAACCATTAATTTACCTTTTTTATCCTAACAGACAAAAAGAGAAAGTATAACATAAATAAGATAATTAGCTTCACAACTAGTATGAGGTCTCTGAACCAGTATCACTAGTGTCTCTTCTTTCCTGTATCATTTTAGGGGAGGCAGTTCTTAAATCATAAGCCCACCCAATTTTAGCCATCATTTCAATACAAGTTGCAGAGAAGTTATCACCCGTACCCAGTTCCGCCGCTTTATAGTCCCATGGGAACACATGATGGTAGTTATGCCAGCCTTCGCCCCAAGTCAACGACGACACTACTTTGTTTTCTGTAGCTTTAATAGACCTAAAGAAATCCAAATAACCACTAATATTTTACAATGTTCCATTAGTACCTGTTGTATGGTTTAGTACCCCAAATATGGGCTGCACTGTTAACTAACCAAGTAAAGTGCAAACTAACGACATAACGAAACATGGCCGCTGTGCAAAACGACACGTACAAATCCTCATTCCAGAAATACCATGGTACCATCGTGGGCACCACAAAGGAGAACACTGGTGCCAAAACCACATAGAACCTGCAAAATGCCAACGTTGTAGTTCAGAGGCTTCATTACCCTTGACTGGGTTACTTTTTCTGGAATCGTACAACCGGGTCGGCTTCAAGGTCGCTCATATTCACGGTTTTGCCCAGTTTGGTCACATCTGGGTGTTTTCGCACCATCAGCCAGCCCATGTGGGAGAAAAAGAAGCCTCGGTTGATGTTGTGGGGGTCGGCGTCGGTGTCCGTGAATTTGTGGTGGACTCGGTGGTCCCGACACCACTCGTAGATGCAATTTTGGAAAGTTACGGTTTGCAGAAAACATAGGATGATCCTGAGCGGGAGTTTCGCTTTGTAGGCCTTATGACACCATAGCCTGTGGGCACCCATTGTGATACCTAAACCAGCAACCCGTCCCAATAGAAACACTGAACAAAGTTATTAAATGTGCCAGATTTCGGGGTTTGATGCTTACTAAACAAAACGGTTCCCAACTTTATCTGCAGACTAAAAATGTAGTATATTCCTAGTATGGCAAAATAATGATACAAGAATAGTACTAGGACGTTGGGCCATACTATCTTCAATTTATAGCTGCTTGTAGAGCTCATTTTTAGTACTAAACACTTGTCCACACTTACCAACGATAGCAAATACGAAGTAAGAAACTGTGTATGTGGAATACAACACAGTCATATCTGTTGATAAGGTTTATGGTTTTCGACAACTCATTTCCATTTTTTCAATTTTAAATGTGCATTGCCCAAGTTTTGAATTCTAAGGGCACACATTTATTTTTTTGGCAGTGTGACTGCGACGAATTTTGCATTTTCTCGACCTTTCATGACCCCGTTTATCTATTCGTCTGTCTGTTTGTCTGTCCGTCGTTTTGTATTTATATTATATATTATATAAGGGTTATCATTGAAAAATTAAAAAGTGGACCTGTACTCTAGGCCGAGGGAAGTTCTGTTGAAATAACTTTCGACCAATATTTACTTCCCGAGCGTAAGCAAAGGAAGTATTGTAATCGAGTCCGTCGGCCGACTCTCTACTTTTACGTTTTCTCGATCTTTCATGACCCCTAGAAGACGAAGAAATAGGTCTCCCATTTCCGTCTGTCTGTCCGTCTGTCCGTCTGTCCGTCTGTCCGTCTGTCCGTCTGTCCGTCCGTCTGTCCGTCTGCCGTCCCGGATTTTTATTAGACAGATAATCTCCGAAAGTACTCGACCGATTGTTGTGAAATTTTGTACTTATATTAAGAATATCATGTAGATGGTAAAACGCTAACCAAAATTTGTCTAATCATCCCCACCACTAATGCGATGACGTCACTTCAAAATTGTACATAGTAAATGGGTTTTCAATTGTATAAAATAACATAGTCCTACACATGTAGTTTACAACTCTGAATCGACTTTTCACCCGAAACGTCCAGATTTTTGGAAAAAAAATCAAAATTATAAAACAACATTTTGAAATTTAATTTTTAATCTGCTAATCAGAATGTTTTGAAATGTTGCAGATGTTTTAAGGCTATAAAGAGCATCATAAATCTTTAGTAAAAAAATATTTGCTTATCCCCTCCAAAAACTTGATGACGTCAGCTCAAAAGTTTGTGGAATAAATCATATCTAAAATGTACAAAATATGATGAGTCTGTACTTGTGATCTATCACTCCATTCATATTTTTTGGATTTGCATATACAGGCTGACTCAAAAAAATTAATGAATGCGTAAATATATTTTATTGATTTAATCAGGAACTACAAAACCGAATGCTCTGAAATCTTGCAGATGTTTTAAGGTCATAAAGAGCATAATAAATGTTTAGTCAAAATATATTTGCTTATCCCCTCCAAAAACTTGATGACGTCAGCTCGAAAGTTTGCCGAATAGATCATATATAAAATGTACAAAATATGATCAGTCTGTACTTGAGATCTATCACTCCATTCATATTTTTTGGATTTGCATATACAGGGTGATTCAAGAAAATAAATGAAAGCGTAAATTTATTTTACTGATTTACTCAGGAACTACAAAACCGAATGCTTCGAAATCTTGAAGATATTTTAAAATTATCATAAGCATGGTAAATTTTTGATCAAAACGTATTTGGTCGTCCCCCCTAAAAAATTTATGACGTCACCACAAAATTTTGCTGAATAAATCCTATCTAAAATGTACAAAATATGGTGAGTCTCTTCTTGTGATTTATCATTCCATTCAAATTTTTTCGATTTGCATATACAGGGTGACTCAAAAAAATTAATGAATGCGTAAATTTATTGATTTAATCAGGAACTACAAAACCGAATGCTTTGAAATCTTGCAGATGTTTTAAGGTTATAAAGAGCATAATAAATTTTTAGTCAAAATATATTTGGTTATCTTCTACAAAAAACTGATGACGTCAGCTCAAAAGTTTGCCGAATAAATCGTATCTAAAATGTACAAAATATGATGAGTCTGTACTTGTGATTTATCATTCCATTCATATTTTTGGATTTGCATATGCAGGGTGACTCAAAAAAATTAATGAAGGCGTGAATTTATTTTATCGATTTAATCAGGAATTACAAAACCGAATGCTTTGAAATCTTGGGAATATTTTAAAGTTATTATAAGCATGGTAAACTTTTGTTCAAAATGCATTTGTTCATCCCTCCTAAAAAAATTGATGACGTCACCCTTAAATTTTGCTGAATAAATCCTATCTAAAATGCAAAAAATATGATGAGTTTGTACTTGTGATTTATCATTCCATTCATATTTTTTAGATTTTCTTAAGAGGTGGTTCAAAAAAATTAATGAAGTCAATTTATTTTATTGATTAAATTAAAGGCAACACTTATTATTAGTATTACACCCCAACCAACACAATTTGGTAGACACAAAATTTGTTAAAGGAAAAACTCGGTTGAAACATAAGGGTAGCACGCTTATTTACATCGACTTTAACATTACAGACCTGCATTTGTTTTATGCGCTCACTTGGTTCCGCGAATGTGAAATAGACATGTTTATAATCAACCAATTGTGAATTTCACCGTCAAGAATTAAAATAAAACCCAATGTTTTATATAATAAGCGGAAGTCGAAGCAATAAAACCGATGGTCGTTTTGTTTACAGTTTCTCTGTTTGACTCTCACGTATGCTGTTACGCTTGTCATCTTAAATTAAGAATGTTTATACATAAACGATTTTCAGTTGCCGTATACGTGAGTAAATTGTTTCGTTATTTTATTGATTATAAAAAATCAATATTCAAAACGACCCAATTCATTTTCCCGAAAATTTGGGAATACAATAATTTTATTCTTAGTATTACACTACATCTATCCCAACTGATATACGTGTCCTTGCAAAAATGTTGATGACGTCATCGCAATTTTTTTTTAATTCCCACTACAAAAATGTAATGAGAAAAAACACAATAGCCATGCAGTCGTCAAGTTTCCGACAGCGAGGGAAGTACTGTCTAAACTTTTTGGACCAATTTTTTAAAATGGCAATGCTTTTTTTCTACGTCTGTTCCAAGAGAGGGAAAAAATAATAATTTATGAAAATGTTTGTATTCAGGATGCTTAAAAAATTACCATTTTTAATAAGATAAAGTATAAGTGTTACAATATTCATTATTAGGTGAATCAATTAAGTGTTGGCAAGTAACTTTAGTTACCCTTACTCAAAACCAGTGCTAGTTTTGTCTCTTTTTTCCTTGATCATAGTCGGCGAGGCAGTCCTTAAATCATAGGCCCACCCAATCTTGGCCATCACTTCAATAAAAGTCGCAGACCAGTTATCACCCGTGCCCAATTCTGCTGCCTTGTAGTCCCACGGGAACACGTGATGGTAGTTATGCCAACCTTCGCCCCAAGTCAACGCCGACACCACTTTGTTTTCTGAAGCTTTAATAGACCTAAAAAACCCAAATAACCACCAAGACACTACGATCTCCTAGTGGTACCTGTTGTAGGGCTTAGAACCCCAAGTATGGGCCGCACTGTTAACCAGCCAAGTAGAATGCAAGGAAGAAATGTACCGAAACATGCCAGCTGAGCAAAACGCAAAGTACCAATTCTCGTTCCAAAGGTACCAAGGTAACACCGTTGGCAACACAAAGCACGTAACCGGTGCCAGAATCACGTAGAACCTACAAATGCAACTTTGTACTTCTGGGACTTCGTCATCCTAGTTTGGGTTACTTTTTTTGGAATCGCACGACCGGGTCGGCTTCAAGGTCGCTCAAACTCACGGTTTTGCCTAGTTTCATGACATCCGGGTGTTTTCGCACCATCAGCCAGCCCATATGGGCGAAGAAAAAGCCCCTGTTGATGTTGTGGGGGTCGGCGTCGGTGTCTGTGAATTTGTGGTGGACTCGGTGGTCCCGACACCACTCGTAGATGCTGTTTTGGAAAGATAAAGTTTGTAAAACGCATAAAATGATTCTGAGGGGCAGTTTCGCTTTGTAGGCTTTGTGGCACCATAACCTGTGACTCCCTGCAGTGATACCTAAATTTCCTGCACGCATCAGTATTATACCTAAAGGAAGTTATTACAAGTTGTGAGTTTTTGGGGCTTGGTGCTTACAGAACAACGTAGTTTGCCATTTTTGAGTCATAGTTAACATGTAGTACAGTCCTAGTACGCTAAAATAGTGATATAAAAGCATCACTATAACATTGGGCCATACTATTTGGGGTTTATAGCTGGCCGTGGAGCTCATTTTTTTGATAAACACTTTTCGCCACTTGATCACAACTGCGTCTACAAACGAAAAATTTGTTCGTATATCCGTATAAGTTGACAGAATTAAGAATGCGTAACAATGTGTTTAAATTTTTGTTGCATATGCAATATTCAATTAGTAGGGTACGTCTAGAGGACACCTATTTGAAAATCAAGGAGGTAATAATTCCATGCATCTGACAAAATAGCTCCCGACAAAATAGCTTCATGACGAAATAGCTCCGTCTAAATAGCCCAATATCTAAAAATCTCCACAAGGGAGCAAAATTTTAACAAAAGAAAACATCAGGAGCTATTTTGTTAGGAGCTATATTGTCGTTGGGCTATTTTGATGGGTCATGGAAAAACGTTCATTTCGAACTTGTGAGGTGTTATATTTCGTTTGTGCATTACCCTAATACTACTTTCGAATTTCTATACGCAAACATCTACTAAAAGTTCTAAAAATAGTTGCAGTATATTCTAGAACTAGTCCGTCGGCAACAAAGTAATGCAACAAGTTGTTTATTAAATGCTAAAATATGCACAAGCATAATGTCATTTTGTTAGAATTAGTGGACCTTGAAATAAATTATTAAAAAATTATTCAATAATAAACACTTTAGGCACCGCACATTAAAAAAAAATATTTGGCGTCCACGAGAAGGTTTTACATTTTTAAAAAATACATCTGGGCCCCCGACAAGGTTTTACATTCTTAAAAAAGACAGTTGGGATACCCGAGAAGGTTTTACATTTTTAAAAAGACAGTCCGGACTCTCGAGAAGGTTTTATATTTTTAATAGACCGTTGGGACCCCCGAGAAGGTTTCACATTAAAAAAAGACATTTTGTGTCCGCGAGGTTTTAGATTTTTAAAAAGGACAGTGGGGACCCCGAGAAGATTTCACATTCTTAAAAAAAATACGTTTACTCCCCCCCCCCCCCCCAAGAAGGTTTTACATTTTTAATAGACCGTTGGGACAACGAGAAGGTTGCGTATTAACAAAAAGACATTTGGCGCTCCCGAGGTATCACATTCTTGAAAAAATACATTTGGGGTCCCCGAGAAGGTTTCACATTTTTAAAAAAGACAGTTGGGACGCCTGAGAAGGTTTCACATTATTGAAAAAAGACATTTGGCGCCCCCCTGAAGATTTTGCAGTTTTAAAAAGGACAGTTGGGACCCCCGACAAGGTTTTACATTTTTAAAAAAGACATTTGGCGTTCCCGAGAAGGTTTCACATTCTTAAAAAAATACATTTGGGGCCCCCGAAAAAGTTTTACATTTTTAAAAAACAGTGTTGGGATACTTGAGAAGGTTTCACATTTTTAAAAAAGACAGTTGGGACGCACGAGAAGGTTTCACATTATTGAAAAAAGACATTTGGCGCCTCCCTGAAGATTTTGCATTTTTAAAAAAGACAGTTGGGACCCCCGAGAAGGTTTTACATTTTTAATAGACCGTTGAGACCCCGAGAAGGTTGGACATTAAAAAAAAAGACATTTGGCGCTCCCCATGTTTCACATTCTTAAAAAAATACATTTGGGGCCCCCGAGAAGGTTTTATATTTTTAATAGACCGTTGGGACCCCCGAGAAGGTTTCACATTAAAAAAAGACATTTTGTGTCCGCGAGGTTTTAGATTTTAAAAAAATACATTTGGGGCCCCCGAAAAGGTTTTACATTTTAAAAAAAGACATTTGCCCCCCCCCCCCCCAAGAAGGTTTTACATTTTTAATAGACCCTTGAGACCCCGAGAGGGTTGCATATTAAAATAAAAGACATTTGGCGCTCCCGAGGTTTCACATTCTTAAAAAAATACATTCTGCGCCCCCGAGAAGGTTTTACATTTTTAAAAAAGACATTTGGCGTTCCCGAGAAGGTTTCACATTCTTAAAAAAATACATTTGGGGCCCCCTAAAAGGTTTTACATTTTTAAAAAAGACAGTTGGGACCCCCGAGAAGGTTTTACATTTTTAATAGACCGTTGAGACCCCGAGAAGGTTGGACATTAAAAAAAAAGACATTTGGCGCTCCCCAGGTTTCACATTCTTAAAAAAATACATTTGGGGCCCCCGAGAAGGTTTTATATTTTTAATAGACCGTTGGGACCCCCGAGAAGGTTTCACATTAAAAAAAGACATTTTGTGTCCGCGAGGTTTTAGATTTTAAAAAAATACATTTGGGGCCCCCGAAAAGGTTTTACATTTTAAAAAAAGACATTTGCCCCCCCCCCCCCAAGAAGGTTTTACATTTTTAATAGACCCTTGAGACCCCGAGAGGGTTGCATATTAAAAAAAAAGACATTTGGCGCTCCCGAGGTTTCACATTCTTAAAAAAATACATTCTGCGCCCCCGAGAAGGTTTTACATTTTTAAAAAAGACATTTGGCGTTCCCGAGAAGGTTTCACATTCTTAAAAAAATACATTTGGGGCCCCCGAAAAGGTTTTACATTTTTAAAAAAGACAGTTGGGACCCCCGAGAAGGTTTTACATTTTTAATGGACCGTTGGGACCCCCGAGAAGGTTTCACATTAAAAAAAGAGATTTTGTGTCCGCGAGGTTTTAGATTTTTAAAAAGGACAGTGGGGACCCCGAGAATATTTCACATTCTTAAAAAAATACATTTGGGGCCCCCGAGAAGGTTTTACATTTTTAAAAAAGACATTTGGCGTTCCCGAGAAGGTTTTACATTTTTAATAGACCGTTGGGACCCCCGAGAAGGTTTCACATTTAAAAAAGAAATTTTGTGTTCGCGAGGTTTTAGATTTTAAAAAAATACATTTGGGGCCCCCGAAAAGGTTTTACATTTTAAAAAAAGACATTTGCCCCCCAACCCCCCAAGAAGGTTTTACATTTTTAATAGACCCTTGAGACCCTTAGAGGGTTGCATATTAAAAAAAAAGACTTTTGGCGCTCCCGAGGTTTCACATTCTTAAAAAAATACATTCTGCGCCCCCGAGAAGGTTTTACATTTTTAAAAAAGACATTTGGCGTTCCCGAGAAGGTTTCACATTCTTAAAAAAATACATTTGGGGCCCCCGAAAAGGTTTTACATTTTTAAAAAACAGTGTTGGGATACTTGAGAAGGTTTCACATTTTTAGAAAAGACAGTTGGGACGCACGAGAAGGTTTCACATTATTGAAAAAAGACATTTGGCGCCGCCCTGAAGATTTTGCATTTTTAAAAAAGACAGTTGGGACCCCCGAGAAGGTTTTACATTTTTAATGGACCGTTGGGACCCCCGAGAAGGTTTCACATTAAAAAAAGACATTTTGTGTCCGCGAGGTTTTAGATTTTTAAAAAGGACAGTGGGGACCCCGAGAATATTTCACATTCTTAAAAAAATACATTTGGGGCCCCCGAGAAGGTTTTACATTTTTAAAAAAGACATTTGGCGTTCCCGAGAAGGTTTTACATTTTTAATAGACCGTTGGGACCCCCGAGAAGGTTTCACATTTTTAATGGACCGTTGGGACCCCCGAGAAGGTTTTACATTTTTAATAGACTGTTGGGACCCCCGAGAAGGTTTCACATTAAAAAAAGACATTTTGTGTCCGCGAGGTTTTAGATTTTTAAAAAGGACCGTGGGGACCCCGAGAATATTTCACATTCTTAAAAAAATACATTTGGGGCCCCCGAGAAGGTTTTACATTTTTAATAGACCGTTGGGACAACGAGAAGGTTGCGTATTAAAAAAAAAGACATTTGGCGCTCCCGAGGTTTCTCATTCTTAAAAAAATACATTCTGCGCCCCCGAGAAGGTTTTACATTTTTAAAAAAGACATTTGGCGTTCCCGAGAAGGTTTCACATTCTTAAAAAAATACATTTGGGGCCCCCGGAAAGGTTTTACATTTTTAAAAAACAGTGTTGGGATACTTGAGAAGGTTTCACATTTTTAAAAAAGACAGTTGGGACGTACGAGAAGGTTTCACATTATTGAAAAAAGACATTTGGCGCCGCCCTGAAGATTTTGCATTTTTAAAAAAGACAGTTGGGACCCCCGAGAAGGTTTTACATTTTTAATGGACCGTTGGGACCCCCGAGAAGGTTTCACATTAAAAAAAGAAATTTTGTGTCCGCGAGGTTTTAGATTTTAAAAAAATACATTTGGGGCCCCCGAAAAGGTTTTACATTTTAAAAAAAGACATTTGCCCCCCAACCCCCCAAGAAGGTTTTACATTTTTAATAGACCCTTGAGACCCCGAGAGGGTTGCATATTAAAAAAAAAGACTTTTAGCGCTCCCGAGGTTTCACATTCTTAAAAAAATACATTCTGCGCCCCCGAGAAGGTTTTACATTTTTAAAAAAGACATTTGGCGTTCCCGAGAAGGTTTCACATTCTTAAAAAAATACATTTGGGGCCCCCGAAAAGGTTTTACATTTTTAAAAAACAGTGTTGGGATACTTGAGAAGGTTTCACATTTTTAGAAAAGACAGTTGGGACGCACGAGAAGGTTTCACATTATTGAAAGAAGACATTTGGCGCCGCCCTGAAGATTTTGCATTTTTAAAAAAGACAGTTGGGACCCCCGAGAAGGTTTTACATTTTTAATGGACCGTTGGGACCCCCGAGAAGGTTTCACATTAAAAAAAGACATGTTGTGTCCGCGAGGTTTTAGATTTTTAAAAAGGACAGTGGGGACCCCGAGAATATTTCACATTCTTAAAAAAATACATTTGGGGCCCCCGAGAAGGTTTTACATTTTTAAAAAAGACATTTGGCGTTCCCGAGAAGGTTTTACATTTTTAATAGACCGTTGGGACCCCCGAGAAGGTTTCACATTTTTAATGGACCGTTGGGACCCCCGAGAAGGTTTTACATTTTTAATAGACTGTTGGGACCCCCGAGAAGGTTTCACATTAAAAAAAGACATTTTGTGTCCGCGAGGTTTTAGATTTTTAAAAAGGACCGTGGGGACCCCGAGAATATTTCACATTCTTAAAAAAATACATTTGGGGCCCCCGAGAAGGTTTTACATTTTTAATAGACCGTTGGGACAACGAGAAGGTTGCGTATTAAAAAAAAAGACATTTGGCGCTCCCGAGGTTTCTCATTCTTAAAAAAATACAT